CAGCTGGAATGACTGCATGGAGGAGGGGCTATTTCTCCAACAAGTTCACCTGCTCATACTGTTATATGACCTAGAAATAGGCTTCTATTTGTGTTGGAACCATTATATATATTTTTGCATCTACTTGCTATAGCAGCTGGCCTACCTTCTAACGCACTTAGGTAAGCCTTATTCAAAATGCCCATTTGGGAATTGGGAAGACATTTGTATTTTAGCTCCAATTATAGTAACAGTAATTAATATTTAACATTTATCATCTTAAGAGCTTTATATTTATTAACTCTTAATCCTCATAGTAAATGTATATGATAAGGACTAGTAGTCCCATTTTATAGTTGGGGGCACTGAAAGGTTAAATAACTTGCCCAAGGTTATAAAGCCAGGGATTATAGAAGCTGAGATACAAACCCAGATAGTGTGGGAGATAACACTTCTCATCACTGCTATGGGGTCACCACGACATCCACAAAATCAAATATTCTACCAGTCAAATCAGTTTATTCTAAATTATTCCCACATCCTAAGGGTTGCTGTTGTCATCCTCCTCAGGGGTTTCTAGGTACCCTGATCTGGAATCTCCAGCTTAGAACCCAGAACTTGTTATCAGCTGCCAGACCTGCCTTATGTCCCCCAGAAGTGTGTCTGTCTGGATTTTGGCACACCTTCTCGCATATCTCCTGGACACTTGGCTCCATCCCCTACCAAGACTCGACTCTGGCTTCGAGTCATCCTTGACTCTGACCACCACTCACCTGCCTCCTCCCGACATTGTCCCCAGATATTGATTCTACTTGCTCAGATAATGGACTCCCCCACAACATCTTCAAAGACTCACCTCACTTAGGTGGGCGTCTGTCTGTTCAGGTTCTTCTTGGTCTGGCCTAATCTACTTCTTGCCTAACTCTGAATGCTCATTCTGACTTTGTTCATTCATTCATATTTTTATTGGGCATCTACAATGCTAGGTACTGTGCTAGGCACAGTAACCTCCTCCTCTTCAGGACTCTCAAAACTTTCTTTGATTCCAGATTTGACCTCTAATTTCTTTTTTTTTTTTAAAAGATTTTATTTATTTATTTGAGAGAGAGAGAGACAGAGAGCATGAGAGGGAGGAGGGTCAGAGGGAGAAGCAGACTCCTTGCCGAGCAGGGAGCCCGATGCGGGACTCGATCCCGGGACTCCAGGATCATGACCTGAGCCAAAGGCAGTTGCTTAACCGACTGAGCCACCCAGGCGCCCCTTGACCTCTAATTTCTTAATGTTGTCTGATGTTCTGAGAAAGGTATAATGGTACAAAAATCCACACTTGTCCAAGCCAGCTTACAAGCAATCTCAGAAGCGTCGAGTGAGTGACCCACAGAAGGAAAAGGTATGTCACCGGGCATAGCCTTAAGAAGAGAGAACAAAGATCCTGGCACTCTAGTGCAGAGACGTTTGTTTTCTCTTTCCAAATATGTAACAGGAAATCAGGCAGTTCACCTGTGTAAATCGTTTGCATATCACTCATATAGGAGCCAGATGGCACCTCTTTGTTTTAAGAAATTAAAAATAAAAAAGAAAGAACATAAGGAGGAGTTTATCTCCATCTCTCTCCCTGCTCTTGTATACACACCCTGGACTCTGTACTGGGCAGATGAACACACGCACGTTCACAGGCATGCTCACACGCACACACACCCACGCACACACTCGCACACTCTCACACACACAAAGAGAGAGGCCTGGGTTATCTGCATTTAACTGAATTAGGCACCAGGAACTCACAAACTCCTAAGCTCAACAGATTTCTGTAACCTACAGTAGCAAATCTATCCCGGATGTCAGCTTGCAAAGAGAATCCTTCAATGCTCCTGCTATATAATAAATCACTGCATTCCCCCAGAGCCTCAGCTGGTGTACCAAACAAAAAAATATTTCATAAATCACCTGAACATGAACCTAGCTGTGATCATGAGGACCATGTAAACACTGACCAGAAGAACAGGCAAGCGCTGATGATCCAGTCTTTCTATTCAAGTTGAAACCTTGGAAAGGAAAGTTTCCAGATGTGGTCAACTTAAAGACCCTACTCCTTTGGGGCAGCTACATGATCCCAGTTTATCTTCCAGTGATCAGGAGGTCCTTCTCTCTGACCCAAGAATGACATCTGGAAATCAGATTATCCCTGTGGTTCTCCTGCCTTGGGTATGAAGGAAACAATAGTTTACCCAGTAAGCTATGTATTCCAGGCTCTTTACACAAAGTAACTTGCTTAACATCAAAATAACTCTGCCAAGTGACTACATTTGTGCTCATTTTTTAAATGGGAAAACTAAAGAGAGGTTAGGGGAAGTGCGCTGGGGTCCCAAGGCTGCTAATGGTGGTGGTGTTTAGTAAGATCAGGTCCCAATGCAGAACGCCTTTGCACTCTGACGCCCTCCAGTGTGGATAACAAGACTTTGGAGTTCATCCAGTGATGTGACCCCTGGCAAATCTACTTCTGCCTTTTGTTTTGCAGAGGGTGAGGGAGGGGGAGCTGTGCATACATTAGGACATTGTGAGCAACTGAACACGAAGATATGATACATACTACTCCCAGAATATGGAAAGTATAATATCTACGCACCATCAGTGGGATATGCAGTTTTCCCATAGTGCACTGTTTGTACTACAATATCTCTTTTTAATTTCATATTCCCTGTGAACAAAGACATACATTTTCAAGCCAGCTGGCCTCCACTTACACCCAGCTTAGAACTCATGAAAAAGGGATCGCAGATACCCGAAAAGTGGACCTTTTCCACCTCGCCCTCCCTTCCTCAAGTTCCAATCAGCCCTGGTGCCCACCAAAATAAGACAGATTCACCCCTTGCTGCTCTCCCAGGAGGAAAGAGCATCAGTTCCCAGTTGTTAAAGCAAGGGCAAAGCAGTATCATTGGATAGCTGATAGATGTGATTTTTTGGCTTTCTTGAATCAGAATCAAGAAATATGAAGGGCACTCCTTGAAGTGAGTTTGACAGCTGAGTGTGCACACATTGTGGCCAGATATTGTTTCCCGGGACCGTGGTAAAGCCAGTAGAGAACAGATTGGCATAATCAAAAATCTGCCGCACACAGAAAAACGATGATTCCCTCCCTTGCTTTTACCAATACCAACGTAAATCTGAGCTCAGCCAAACAGGCCAGTAAACCCCATTACAGAGAGCACAAAGGCAATTAAACGGTGCCAACTCCAGGTAGACTCAAGAAATCTACAGTATTGGGGCACCTGGGTGGCTCAGTCGGTTAAGCGGCTGCCTTCGGCTCAGGTCATGATCCCAGAGTCCTGGGATCGAGCCCTGCATGGGGCTCCCTGCTCAGCGGGAAGCCTGCTTCTCCCTCTCCCACTCCCCCTGCTTGTGTTCCCTCTCTCACTATGTCTCTCTCTGTCAAATAAATAAATAAAATCTTAAAAAAAAAAAAGAAATCTACAGTATTATTGGTATAATGGTATGAAAATCCACACTTGTCCAAGCCAGCTTACAAGCAATCTCAGTAACCACACCAATGCCTTTCTTGGAAATGAGTGAAAAAATTAGTCTAGATGCTAAAGAAAGACTCTGCTTTGATGTTTCCTGGCAGGTCTGCCCTGGCCATCCATCTATGGCGCCTGCTGCATTGTGCTCCCTTTTCCGTATCTGGGATGTTGGACAGGGTAGGTGGCTTGAGAAACTGCCTAGTTGCTCGGACCTTACTACCTTCCCTGCTGTTTGGTCTACTTGGCCTCATATTCTCTCATGATGGTATATCATCTGGCTAAAATGAAGTGTCTTGAGTGACCAGGTCTAATGTCTGAGCAATGTTGTTTAGGCAAAACCATCAGGAGCATCCAGATTGAACAGATCTGCACATGCCAACCCCCAACTCCCAGCCTCATAGTCCACCATGCTTAGGCCAACAGGACAATCATATCTGGGCTCTTTGACTCACAATATGATCATTCGTTCCCTACAAAGAAGATAAAACCAATGGCTACCATGCCTCTTGACCTCTAGAACTTTGTCCCACCCTCTTCTTATACCACCTATTCAAACTCCTCACCCACTCAATGTCCCTGAAGTAACTATTACATATTTCTTGAGGCATGTGCCTTCCAATCAGTTTGCAAAGGTTATCCTATCTCGGCATCTCAGGCTGCTCCCATACTTCCCTCTTTTGGGGTAAATGACACTCGTGCCCACTTGTCTTTTCCCTGGCAATAATACCCCTGTCAAAACCACTCAATAATCCACTGGAAGGGGTTTCCCAAAGACAAAGGGAACAAATAATCCTGGAAGCAAAATAAGATAAGATACCTCTTAACATAAAGCAGACCACTGTATAGAAGTAAAATTGAATGTGATGCCTCCTACCACAATCAGAAAGCTTTTTCTAAGGCCAACCTGCAACTCTCTCCAAAGTTGGCAACAATAACATGCTTTCTTGCTTCACCTTTCCTAAATCATTCAGTTGATTTTGCTCAGCAGGACATTAATGATTTTTGCTACTTTACTGTGGGTTCTGGCTTCTCACCAAGATCTACCTTTGAAGACAAGATAAGCCTACACAGTCACCAGATAATTTCAGAGAATAAAATGTGTTGTGGGTAAGGCTGGGTCAGGGACTGAGTTGGGAGGTGTTAAAATGTAGCACCAAGTTGAGCTTGATTCTGTGTGCATTTGGGCATACATATATATGTATGAGTCTGTTTGCATGAAGAATGAGTATTGATGTATGTAAGAACACAATGCATATGTCATTGCAATGTAAGAATACCATCAAGTTGAATGTCCAAGAGGAAGGGAGGCATGAGCTATTGAGAGAATAATAAACAGGTATGTCAAGATGTAGGAGTGGCCAAAGGATAACCACCACGTGTATGTCTGGGCATGGGTGCATACGTGCGTTCTCTGGAGTGACAGAGTTAATGGACAATGACAAAGACATGTGAGCAAGGTGTTAGCTCTGCTGCTGAGTCCTGCAGCTGGAAAAGCCACCTTACCCTGTAGTAATCGGTGCTGTAGACATCTCTGGACATGCCGAAGTCCCCAATCTTCACCAGCAGATTGGCTCCAACCAGGCAGTTCCTGGTGGCCAGGTCTCGGTGTACGAAGTGCTGGGAGGCCAGGTACACCATGCCTGAGGCGATCTGACTGGCGATGTGGAGCATTTGGGAGAGCCCCAACTCGCCTTTCGCCTGGCGTGGCTGCCCATCTACAAGGATCATAGCATCTGGCCCATGGGCCCTGTGAGGGGTGGGGAAGAAGACAGAGGACAGAGAGAATTCAGGAGACCACGAGGAACAGCCTTCTTGATTCCCTGTTCTCAATCACCACAGAAATGAATAAATCTCTCTTAGCCTACTTATTGCCTATTTCTGTCTATCCAACATTATGATATGTGAGTGTGCATTATGAATACAACACTACAATCAGATTCCCAACTAAGATGATGCAGACATAGTCTAATGGATCAGGAAATAAACCTACTCTTTTAAGTATCTTAATGCTATGCAGGAGTTTCCCCAGCTCTAGATATCTACTACAGAATCATTAATAAAACAATTAACTCTTCCAGAGCCCTTGCTGTTCCAAGCCCTTGCTGTTCCAAGCTCTAAAGATCTCAAATCTATTAATTCACTTAATCCTCCAACTCCAATTTTGAGTTAAAGCAACTGAGGCACAAAATGGTCAGATCACCTGGCCAAAGTCACAGGAGTGCCGCAGTGGCCATATGGATAATCCGGAGGCCGAAGGAAACCAGACATGTGGTTCTAGAGAGCTCTAAATTTTAAGGATCATCCTCAATTGTGCTGAAGAGATTCCTGGGCCCCGCCCCCTATGATTCTGATTGGCTGGGCGGAGCTCGATCATTTGCATTTCTGACAAGCTCCAGGTGATGATGCTGTGGGTGGGCAGTCCACACTGTGGGTAGCAGGAGCCTGGAGTTCACATTCCTACCCTATCCACCACACTGCCTAGGACTGGATAACTTTTGTTGGTGGCAGGGCCGAATGGAGAGACCCTTCGGGTCTGGGAAGCTGAGGCCTGGGAAGCCCCGGTTCCCCCACCGTCCCAAATCAAGGCCCCGGATTTGTTATCCTAACGCCTTGCCTTGTCATATCGGTCACTTTTAGTATTCATTCTTTTCTCCAGAAAGCCCAATGAGCCATAACCACACCCAGAGCCCTTATTTATGAAGTTGTGGACCAAGGAGCCCTCGTGTACAGGGAGGCCTCGGCCTGTTTTACTGCTTCTCCAATTTCCACTGAAAGGAGTCGTTAAATACGAACGCATTCATTTTATTGTCTCCTGTGGGTTCTGCCTACTTCACCCTCGGAAGGAGAACTACTGCATCGGCCCGCAAGGAAGGAGCATCCGCAGGCAAGCCTGAGCTCGGATGGACCAGTAGAGGACGCTGCAGCCTGGCCCTAAAAGCCACCAACTGGCTTCTCTACTCTTTTCTTCCCTCTTCCCTTATATTGGGCATGGCAGGGGTACACAGAGGCCCCCAAGAGCTCTCTGTAGGCCTGTCTGGGGCACTTGGGGCTAAAAGCACTGCTGAATCTATGGCGCGGGCTTGCTGGGAAATGGAGCATGTCCCTCGGACCATCCCAGGGGGATGTAAGCACAGCATAAAGATCTTGAATACTGAGAAAAGGCATTGCCTGTATTAGTAACTATCCCGGTTCACAGTCCTGATAAAATACTACTTGTAATAATTTAATAGTAGCTATCATCGACTGAATGCCCAGCTACGTGGAAAACTCATTTAGGTATTATACCAATATAACCACTTAGCACTCATGGTAGGAAACCTGTGGAGCAGTTAGTATTAGTCTTGTTTTCTAGGAGAGAGAATTAAGGTTTAATAACTTGCCCCAGGTTACATCACTGAGACGTGACAAATTCAGGATGTGAGCCCAGGTCTGTCTGATGACAAGGACAGAGTTCTCCAAGAAAGGAATAAATTTCATTGTGAAAATCCAAGTTCAGGAGGTTCAAAACATCCTACAGATGTTTTCCCTTCTTCGGGGGCCATTTTTGGAAACCCAGCTCATAAGAAGAGTTCATTAACTGCTACCAGCCCTTTCCAGGACCCCTCAAAAACACGGCACACTAGTCAATGTCTCACTTGAAGAAGATGCTCTCAAGTTTTGGAGAGTTGTGTTAGTAGTGTTCCATGGCCCACACGTGAACTCTGAAAATGTCATTATCAGCCATGGGATGCAATGGATACCAAAAGAACCCTACGTGTCAAGGGCCTGATTGTCCCAACTGCTTCCTGGGACCCCGAGTTCTACACACCCTCACACACGGCTGCCCCCTCCACATCTGGCACTACTTGGAAGTGGCAGATGTGGGAGGCAGAGAAGTGCGAACTCTGCTCTGGTGGTGAGAAGCTGTCTTCCCTGGGGAAGGCTGTCTGCCCCCCTGCCGTGCAGCTCCATCCAGAACCTTCTGGCTGAGGTTCCAGTCTCTTGCTAGTTCCATCAAGAGCATCTCAAAACCCAGATGATCTTGAGCCAAGTTTGGGGAAACCCTCTTACAACATATCTAATCTTTCTAGAACAGTTCTATCCAGTTGAACTTTTTATTGATGGAAATATTCTATACTGCACTGCCCCATATTGTAGCCACTAGCCCGAGGGGACTACTGAGTACTTGAAATGTGGCTAGTGTGACCAAGGAACTGAATTTTTAAATTTAATTTAAGTCATGTAAATTTAAATTCAAATATCCATAGGTAGCTTCAGCACTGGACAGCATGGTTATAAATTTACCAGAGGAAAATCTGCTCTTGTTTTTCAACCATCTCTGTCTCCTGATGAACTTGTAACATTGTACTTTCTTATTCATCATAAAAATGTCTCCAGCAAGAAGGTTTCCAGCAGGGGTGTAAGATATTAGCTCCACTTTGCAACACTGAGAAATGTAAGGCACCAAGTGAGAAAACAATTCAGATCATCAGGAGAAAAGGTGGCTCTACAGTCTCAGAGTTGAGAGTTATAGGCTGGCAGGCCCTCTGGGCTTCCCTCCTCAGACTCTTCCAGACCCTGCTCTTGTGGTCAGTCCACCTTGTGATCAGGAAGAAGATACTCACTTGTCATAGCATCCTCAGTATTTCCCCCTAGAAATCAGTGACAAAGGCCTGAAGCTTGCTGCTCAGGAACTGATATGAAAGATTGAAAGGTTGCTTCTCATTTCTAATCCCTAGACTTATGTGTTCAGAGGAGCTGTGTGACTTCTGGCTCCAGGGGAACTGCAGGGGTTCAGGGGGGCTGGCTGGGGGCCAGGACTGGGGGCAGCAGTCCTTGCTTACCTGAGGAACTTGTTCAGGTCTCCATGCTTCATGTACTCAAAGACCATGATGAGCGGGTCCCCATCACCACACACCCCATAGAACTTGACAATGTGCTCATGCTGCAGGTTAGTGAGCAGCTCAGCCTCCCTCTGGAAATCCTTCCGGGCAGCCAGGGTGGGATCCTTCAGGGCCTGGAAACAATGCAGGACATGGGTTTTAGCAACCAGAGGGCAAGGGCCTGTCTGCTCCCCTCCTGGGAAGAAACCTGCCCATGATAAAGACAGCTGGTCCCCAACCAATCCGATTTTAATCAGGGTTTAAAGACCATGAGGTGACATCACAATAGCCAGGCCCGATTCCTTCTGCCCTCAGCCTGTTCATCCTTGCAGAAACAGAAGCCAGCTTTCTGGTGCCCCACCTTCCATCCACTGGCCACTGATCTCAATGCATGTTCACCTCAGAGCCCTTTGCTCCCTGAGAGTTCCCATGAATGGCGGAGGGAGGGGGCTGGGCAGGTGGAAAGCCTGACCAAGGCGCCTTCCCCTAAGCTTTCCTTGAAGAAATGGTCCTGCCGCTAAAAATAACAGTGGAAAAACCACCACCCCATTGCTTTAATTTGTAAATTAGCCTATGCCCAGAGCCTACCAGAAATCAGGCATAATAAAGCCTCCTTGCCCTTTCTATTCCTTGATTTTAGATTGTGAAGGAGTGTATATTCACAGAGAAACATCAACATGTTGCTTCTAGAAGGCACCTGTGTCCTGTGTAGGAAGCTGAAGGAGGCACTGGGGGGCAAGTGGGACTGCAGCTATGGGAACGGCAGTGAACGGGCAACAGCTTTAGGATCCACCAAGAACCAGGATGGCATCGAGTCCTGCAAAATCCCAGGGCAGGATGGGCAGGTGGGCATCTTGTGGTCACTAAAATGCCACAGCGTAGCCCCTGTGGGGTGGGAGAGCCCAGGGTGAGTGGGAGACATCAGACTGGGTTTCAGGAAGACAAATGGAAGAGGAGAGGTCAGGAGGGGTGTCAGGTGTGAGTGTGGACACTCTAGCACTAGAAGGGGATGGTGAGACCGAAGTAGAAGACTCTGAGCACATCTGAGGGACCATGGTGGACAGGGCCCTGCCACAGGGATGCAGCTATGCAGGCCCGAAGGAGGGTGAACAGTAAAGGTGCGTTGCAGTGGGGGGCGTCCTGCAGGAGGCACAGCCTGGGCAGGTGGGTGCACACATTTCAGGCTTCCCTCCCTCCCCCACGAGGTCGGAGGGCAAACAGGGCCAAACAGCCACTTGCTTCAACCAACACAGTTTCGTAACCTCACCAGACACAACACCAGGCCATGAGGGAGCGAGTGTGAAGTTGGCACGCTCTTTTCAGCTTAGTGATAATCTAGACAGGCATGAGAATGGTTTGCATCCTCTCTGCCAAGCATCTGGCCTTTTGGTGATTTAGGCTGACCCACCTCCCCTGTAGATCATGTTACTCCTGCAAGGCCTCGCCAGCCACGGGCCTTTCTGTTGCCTCGGCCACACGCATTAACTGAAATCCACAGGGCTGCCTTGGCTGACAGCCCTGCAGGGATGTGCATATGCAAAAATTCTATCTAGTAGGGCCCATCAGACCTCCATCAGTCGCTAGCACACATTAGAGATGATGCACTTTGAGCACTAAATATCACCAGCTTCCTTCCACCTGCTTATTGCTGGAGTTGGAGAAACTGAGGCCCAGCCCTGTCTGGGAGTCAGTATGCATTCACACATCTCAAATGGAAGCGTACCATTAAACCAGACCTCAGCCATCTCTGGGACCCCAGAGTTCAGTCTCAATGTCTCTAGGGCCATGGTCTCCTAGCTAGAGATCAAACCCACTCCGACATCGACCGGCACCACTTTTCACTCTTTTCGAACTTTGGAGCGTTCACCGAAAATGCATTTGATGAAATGATTCTACCATTGAAGAAATTCTGGGATTTATCTCATGCAGCTTTCCCACATGACAGGTGAGGAAACTGAGGTCCAGGACGGGGAAATGACTTGCCAGAGACCATGCAAGAAGCCAGGGCTTGAATCTAGAGCCCAGGGACACTTTCCTGGCTGGCACACCTGCCTGAGTTAATTTACCAGATGAATTGACCACCAGGCATGTTCCCAAGGAAATGGGGGGCACAGAAATTTTATGGTGTGAAAGGGCAGAGGAGAGGGCCAGGTAAGGCAGAGGGGCCAGGCACAGCGAGGATGGGGGACAGGTAGGGCTGACTAAGCCCGGCAGGGAGGTGGGCGGTCCAGCCCGTTGCTGACTTTGCCGGCTCTGAAGCTCATGTGCTCTGCACTTCAGCTCTGGCCGCCTTCTCAGGGAAGCTGCCCACTAAGAAAGGAGCATGCTGCTGTGTGTCCACGTGCAGCCAGAACAATGACATTTGCAAAGGTTTCTTGCTATGCGAGGGAGAAGACAGAGTCATGGTGAGAGGGGTCCTCGCTGCGACCCAGCTCCTGAGCTGCGTAGCCTGGGCCGTGGGTAGAGGATGACTGCCAGTGATTTGTTTATTTTCATGAAGAATAAGAGGGGGGAGAAAAGAGGAACCCAGCATGGGTGGGATGGGAGACTACAGAGATTTATGGGAATGCTGGATTTATGAGAGGGAAAAGTAGATCAAATTTGGGGCCAGCCAAATGGCCTCTCTCCATCTCTGTAAATCATTCTCTTGAACTGTCTGGACGCCAATAGCAGCCATGGGATTTTTCCGTTCTTGGCTCTCAGGCAGTGCCAGCCAGCGTGCCCAAGCCTGGTGCTCCACACTGCCAGGCAGACAGGGGTTCCTCATTTGGGAGATGGGGCACAGAGCAACCACTGTCCCCTAGTCTCTCCACAGCCCTTGTCCACTGCTAGTTCTCTCTCTGCCTTCACACCGGGTTTTCCAGCTCCTGGGTCCAACCTGAAGTGCCTATGTCATTGGCAAGGGGCCAGGTGCGGCAGCTGGGGGCCAGGGCTGTAGGTGGCCCCAATTCCCAGGGATTGATGCAATTGGAACATAGATGACAGGAGGAGACTAATGAGGAGGAAAATCAGCTCAGAGGCTCCCCCGCCCTTCTCAGTGGCATCCACGCTCAACTCCTTCTTTGGGACTGGGAAACTTCAAAGTGGATCGCCATTCAGGGGCACCAGTGAGCTCCTGTTGTTGCAGGAGACGGGTCTCGCCAGAGGGTCTCTGAAGCCGGGGAGGCTCCCCTAGGCCCTTTGAGCAGTATCCACAGAACAAAGAACTCTGGAATTTGCCCCCCACCTCATCTCCTTTCTTTTCCCCCAAAGTTTGAGGACATTGCACTTTCTGATCTTCCTCTCTATGTGCATCATATCTCATGTCCAGCCCAGCCCTGGGTTTCAGTGGGGCCGTCTGGTAAGAGAGGAGGGAAGAGGTCCAGATGACAAAAGCATTCGAATTTCTTTGGGCGCCTAAGTGGCTCAGCACCCAACTCTTGATTTCGACTCAGGTCATGATCTCAGGCTCTGAGATCGATCCCCACAATGGGCTCCGCACTGAGCATGAGCCTGCTTAAGGTTCTCTCCCTCCCTCTCCCTCTGCCCCTCCCCTGCTCGCGCAAAGTTTCAAAGTGTTTGGCTTCAGATTTCATTAGTATACTGATTTAACCCATTTAATATATGCAGAGATACACACATTCCTAAATGTTCACATTTTTAAATATTCAAACATGCACACACGCATGCCAATCTACACTTTTTAAGTATAAAAATTATCTCTCTCCTTTTCTCTCAAAATTCGCTGTCACTTCTCCTTGCTGACATTCCCAAACGGTTTTATGAGAGAGGAAGCTGGGTAAGTTTTCACAAGCAGAGGTGGGTCTCATCTGGTTTCCTGGCTTACAACTGGCCATTGGTTTCCCGTTGTTTTTAGGATAAAATCCAAACCCCTTAAAACAGTCATGGGCTCTAAATGTCAGGTCTCCCCATCTCTCTCTGCCTCCTTTCCTCCCATGCCCTTCCTCTCCACTCATTACACTTTGATCTTGTTGGTCTTTCTGTCCTTGGTACCCACCAAGCTTTTACCTGCCTCAGGCCCTTTGCACATGCATTCTTTTGGTCAGAAAAAACTCCACCAAGTTATATCCACATGACTGGCCAAATTAACTGGTACTGTCTGTTACCTCTCAGGAACATCCTGACTGAAACCCATTATGCCCTGAATAATGGTTGGATACCCAGATAGATACTTCTATCCCAGAGCGGAGCTTGCCAAGGGTCAGCTGTGATTGTTTCTCAAAACCATTTATGATCCATCTGTTAATGTCATTGCTTAATGTAATGAAACATCATAGAAACCAATGAAATATGAGTACAAAGAGTTCGCTGGTTTTCTTTCTTTTTCTTTTTTTTTTAAGATCTGAGTAATTTGGGGGACATCTTGGTGGCTCACTTGGTTAAACATCTGATTCTTGATTTTGGCTCAGGTCATGATCTTGGGGTCATGGAATCAAGCCCTAAATTGGACTCCGTGCTCAGCGGGGAGTTTGCTTAAGACTCTCTCTGTCCTGCTCCCTCTGCCCCTCCCCCACCCTCTGTGCTCGCTCGCGCTTTCTCTCTCAAAAAAATAAATAAATAAATCTTTCTTTTTTTAAAGATTTTTTTAAAATTTATTTGAGAGGGAGCAAGAGAGCACAAGCAGGGGGAGCAGCAGAGGAAGAGGGAGAAGCAGACTCACCGCTGAGCAGGGAGCCCGACATGGGGCTCGATCCTAGGACACTGGGATCATGACCTGAGCCAAAGGCAGACGCTTAACAACTGAGCCACCCAGGTGCCCCAAGTTGCCTGTTTTTATGGAAACTAAGGTGAAGACTTTAGAAAGTCATGCTAAAGGTCAGTGGTTAAAAAGTGTTAAGAATAAGAGGAAAACCTATTTTTTAAGAAATTGGGAAAATACTAAAAATCTAAGATTCTGCACTCAGATTGTTTCACAAATGTTTTAAGTGCCTGTTCCAATGTAAACTAACTGACACTGGAAATCATGAACACCCAAAACAAAAACAAAACAACTCTCCAAACGAAAAGGAACTTAAGAGCTGCAGTTCATACATACTGGAAGAAACAGAATGTTAGAGCCAAATGATTAAAATTATCAAAACTACAACATGAATTTCCTGCAGATAAAGTTAATTTTATAGGAATAGGCTGATAGAGATGTTAAAATAAGTAAATGCTCAAAGACAGTAAAGAAATAATTATTTAAAACAACAACAACAACAACAACAACAAGGTATGCAGCCAAAACAGGGAGAAATAAAATTAAGATAACCATAAAACCATGAACCAATTAGACATCTTGGAAGTAGATTATATGGTTCATGGAAGTTAAAACAAAAGCCTCCACAGAAAGGACAAACCCTACACTAGATAAAACCACAAGAAGAATTCATGACTCGGAGCAATGCTGAGATTCACCCAGAACACAGCATGGAGAGACAGAGGGAACCAGGAAAGGCAGAGACGAGGGGCTCATGCCTCATCGGTGAAGGAGAGGGGCTGCCTGGATCTGAAGTGCTCCCACCACTGATTCGCTGCAGGACCTTGGGCGAATTGCTTGACCTCTCTCTCTGTGCCTCAGTGTCCACTTCCATAAAATGGGGATAGTGATCATACCTGACACTGTGGGTGGCTTGTGAGAACAAAACATTAACATGCACACATTACTTATAGGAGGGCCTTAATCAATACTCCCAGTTAGATGTTGTTGTCATCATCCTGAACACCCCTCCTCCTCCTCATCATCTATCCCTTCAGGGCTCTAAGGTTCTAGGATTCTGAGATGTGAGCTACATGGGCCTGTGTGTGCCCTTGCCTCCTCCATCCCCAGTGCCTCACGCAGGGCCAGGCACATAATAAGTGCTCAATAAATATTTATGGGATGAATAAATTAAGCATATTTTTAAAAATATGATCAATCTTTGAAAGAAAAATATTTTATAGCACACTGAACTCTTACAAATCTAACACCAGTGTATCCTCAATGTAAGGAGAAAATAAAACACTGCCAACCCCCCCAGAAGTGCCCCCACCCCATGCCCCGCCCCTCCAATATTCCCTCTCTCACCCCAAAGGGAACCACTATACTGACTTACAGAGTTCACGATCTTGCTTTTGTAAAACTCTTTTTACTACCTAAATATAAATCCCTAACCTCTAGAGTTCAGTTTTACCTGTCTTTTAAACTTTAAATACGTGCGATCATATATATAACATTATATATATATTATATTTATATATAATATATATATGTATGCATATATATGGTGATGGTGATGAGATATATATATATGTATATATATTTTTTCTCTGTATTTGTCTTTTTTCATTCAATATGGTGTTTTTGAGATTCTTTATTATTACATATAGCTATAGATCACTCATTTTCCTTGGTGAATAGTTTCCCATTGTATGAACATACCACATTTATTTATCCATGTTGCTATTGATGGACATTTGGGGCCATTTCCAGTTTTTGACTGTTGTAAATAATGCTTTATGAACATTATTAGACATATCTCTAGATAGATAGATAGATGATAGATAGATAATAGGAAGGAAGGAAGAGAAAGAAAGAAGGAAAGAAGGAAGGAAGGAAGGAAGAAAAAAAGAAAAGAAAAAGGTGGGTGGGTAGGTGGATGGGTGGGTAGGTGGGTAGATAGGTAGGTAGGTGGATGGATGGATGGATAGATAGATAGATGATAGAAAGAAAGACGGATACCTAGTGGATATAGGTCTAGAAGGAACAGTGCTAGGTCACACAGTATGGTAATGTTCTAGAATACCAAACTGTTTTTCAAAACGATTATACCACTTTACCTTCCCACCAGCAGAGGAGAACTGCAGTTGCCCCCTACTTTTTGTCAGCATTTGGTATGATCATCACCATTTAGCCATTCTGCTGGGTGTTCACTGGCATCTCATTATGGTTCAATATGCATTTTTCTGGTGATGAATTAGGTCGGACCCCTTTCTCATTCTCCCATCAGCTATTTGGCTATCAGGAGATTCTCTGAGATCTTGTGAACAAGTGTATTCTCTGTCAAGTGACTATTCCAAAATGGTATCACCGATTTTAAAATATGAATCATGTGATTTTAACGTCAGTCTTACACCATCCATATGTCCAAATTATGCTCTGCCTTGTCCTGCTCTCCTTCCTTCCTGGGTATTCTTTTGCCTCCCCAGCAGACTGCAAGCATCTTCAGAACAGAGGCTGTGATGTCTCTCTCTGTCCCCCATGGCACCCACTGGGCAAAAAAATTCTTGCCAATTGACTTAAAACCACAATTTTGGGAAACCTAACTTTGGGTTATACTTGCGTGTGTTCTCTGAAAGTCCACAATTACCCTGCCCCAATATGAGCACAAACTCAAGAGGAAGGAGCCTGCACAAAGGAGTAAAATCTGAAGAGGACAAGAAGCAGAAAACACCATTTCTCGGCCCTTCCCCAGAGGAGATGAGTGTCTTCTCCAGGGAATGGTGTCTGGGTGGATCCCCTGGGCAGCAGATGGTGTATAATCTCAGGGCACTCATCTCCTCCAGGTTCCCAGACTCAAGGAGAGAAGAAAACCCTCTTAAAAGGATGAAAAGAGAAACACATTTTCTGTGTTATCCAATCTGGGTACTGTCCCTTAACCCCCGACTGCTCAGTGAGAAACATTTCCCAAGGTTTGGGGCCATCATTCCATTTCCTGCTCAAAGCACAAAAATGTCCATTTCATTTACCAGTCCCCAGAGGGATGCTGGAATGCCCAGTGGATTTGTGTCACCCTATAAATTAAAAGTTTTAGGGAAGTGCAGATTCTTTGGGGACGAAATTAGAAATCTTTCCACTTCCCTGGTTCAAGCCATTTAAAGACATCCTCGCTCATCTGACCATCCCATGTCTACGGAGGCACAGTGAGCAAGTTTATTCTCAGGCTGCCTAGCAATAATAATGATCAGCCTTCACAGAGGAAATACTCTAGTTCCTTATTTATTTTCCAGATCGTGGGTTGGCAGACAACACCTATTTTTGTAAAATATATATATATTAGAAAATGGCCTACCATCAGTTTACCTATTGTTTATGGTGCTTTCCTACTTCTTGGGCAGAGTTGAGCATAGTAACGGACAGCATATGGCCCTCAACGCCTAAGATATTTACTATCTGGCCCTTTAAGAGAAAAACTTGAGCACCCCCTATTCTAGATGGTGAGTGCAATCTTGGCAGGTCGTTCATCATGTATCTAAGCACATTCAATAAAACCAATATCGAGAATAACGATGGTAATAAAACCAGGTAGCAACTACTCTTGATTGAGCATTTACTATGTCCCAAGCGATGTACTAAGGATTTTACGTAGGTTATGTGATTTAATCGCCAACATTTTAAGGAGGAAATATTATATTTCCCATTATACAGATAAAGAAACTGAGGGCCAAAGAGGTTAAGGGTCTCGTGCAAGATCACAAAGCTCATCAGTGGCAGGGCTGGGCCTCCCACCCAGGCTCTCTGATCCCCTTCCACTATGCCTGGGGGCTAAACAGCATCCGTGGAAGCCGTCATCTGCCATCTGTGGACAGACACAACCGGCAGACACAGGAGACAAAGAATATACAGGGGCGCCTGGGTGGCTCAGTCGGTTAAGTGTCTGCCTTCGGCTCAGGTCACGATCTCAGGGTCCTGGGATTGAGTCCCGCATCGGACTCCCTGCTCCTTGGGAGCCTGCTTCTCCCTCTGCCTCTGCCTCTCTCTCTCTCTCTCATGAATAAATAAATAAAATCTTTAAAAAAAAAAAAAAAGACTACGAATACTCCGACCCAGAAGTCAGGGAAGCAGGGAATGGTCATCATGAGATGGTGGCGTCAGAGCCCCCGGTGCTAAGGGAGAGACTCTTTTGAGGTCCAAGTGAGCGTCCTCAGTGGGGAGCAGTATCCCCTGCTCTCAGCCCAGAACAGCAAGCAGAATTCACACACTGCCCTCAGAAGCATTCCTGGGGCACCCCCCGAGGGGCTCCTTGGCTCTTGTCTGTACAAATCACGTTCAATGATTTGTCCAACGCTGGTTTCCAGGAGAAGCTGTTCCCTGCTGGCTGAAGTATGGGGGGAGGGAACTGGTAGCATGGAACTACTGCCCCATGCATTTCAGCTCCAGCTGCAGATCGGCCCAGCTGGCTCAGCAAGACAGAAGCCTTGTGGTTACTGGGCCCATCGAAGTGGCTGCCAGGAGGCAGTAACCCTCAGGCATGCTGCCCCTTGGGCTCCGAACTTGGATCCCAGGGGGGCTATAAGAAATGTTTCCAACTTCACTCACTAGTCTCCCTGTGCTTAGTAGCTGACCCTCCCCACCCCTCTCCTTCTATTCCCAGGGACATCTGCTGCCCTTGAGCCGCACACCCCTCACTCAACTCTGTTCTGAGAAATGTTAAGAGACTTTCCAGGCAGCTGGGGACGGGGATGAGCCAGGCTCTTTCACCAGCAAACTGGCTCCTCCAACTGCACCCCACTCCCAGCCCCCTTAGGCTTCAGAAGCCAGAGGAAACGTCACTGACCTCGGAGCAAGGGCCCGATTGCATCTGACAACGCCAGTTCACACCCAGAACGGAGCGAGCCTCTCCTTGCTCCCCGGCCCCCAGCCACCCCTCCCGCTTCCTGGCGCCTGCAAACCTCTGGGAGTTACCTTCACGGCCACGAGCATCTTGTCCTTGGTGGGGCTGAGGTTGTAGCACTCGGCCAGGAAGACCTTCCCAAAGGCTCCCTCGCCCAGTTCCCGCTTCAGCACGATGTCCCTCCTCTTAATGTGCTGCACATCTGTAGGAGGGGGACAGAGGGGAGAGCAGCCCATCAGTTCGAGGTACCTGTCCTCATTACAGAGGGGAGTGCTGCTTCTGAGTCCGCGGCACGGAGAGGCAGACTCGGTCATGAACCCCGACTCACTCATGAAAAACGGCATTGCGTTGTGGTGTGAGTCCGACCCAGAACCAAATCAATCTCGGCTCTGCCCCTGACTCGCCCCTAACCTGTCTACATTACAGCTGCCTCAGCTGGAAAACAAGAGTCCATAGGAGTTAACACACAGGATTCTGGAATAATTAGCTGTAGTTGCTGGACAGCATGTATGCATATGGCAGTCTCAATGGCTATGGGCATCGTGCAGGTTCTGACTCAGTAGGTCTGAGAATCTGCACTTCTAACAAACTCTCCAGGGATGCCTGTGTGCCGTGGGCCCAAGGACTGCACTTTGAATAGTGAGGTTTGAATCCCGGCCCCCCCACCTCCTTGCTGGTTTTTTTGAGCTTGGGAAAGTGATTTCATCCCAGAGCCTCAATGTCCTCATCTGTAAAATGGGATTAACATCCATCCATACCTTCCTTGCTGAATTCTTGTGATGATTAAATGAGAGAGCCCACTTGAAGACTTTGGCCCAGCGCCTGGGACAATCTAACCACACACACGCACACACACAGATGCACACGCAGACACACACGGGCTCTTGTTATACAAGAGTAGCTGTAACAGTCCTAGCACAGGGTCTGGTTTGTGGTGGAGACGACTAAGTGGGAGCTAAAATTATCTGGAGGGAGCCTCTACTTGACAAATCCCGCTCCTCTGAAAGACCACTGAGATCATGAAAGCCAAGTCCAGAGAGCGCCCCGGAACCATGGTCTATGCAGAGAAGGGTTGCCACCACCTCAGCAAGCCTATTAAAGTCCGTCTGCCAGGAAGAGGCAAGGATGTGACCTCAGCCGTCCCCCTCCCCTCCCCGTTTGGAAAGATTGCTATCGGAGGAATAGTACAAGCAGTGGGCTGGTGATGAAAGGAACAAGCCTGGAGATGCTCACTGACCTCGCCATTATTGTGCAATGGGCAGACGCCCACCGCCCACCTGTAGGAACATTACGAAGAGCGTCGCAGAGCCGGGAAAGGGGACTGTCTCACAGGACCTTGTCAAAAACTGAAGACGGAGGACCGTGGCAGGCCGGCCGTCCCCGTGAGCGAAGAGACAGGCGACAGGAACAGACAGGTGCTTTGGCGTTTGGGTTGGCTTGGGAATTCCTTCCAGAATAGTCTCTATAAATCTTTTGTTTGTTTGTTTGTTTTTTCTATCAGAGTTCATGGTCTCCCCACCGTGTCCCAGGTGACCTATCGGGGAGGATCTGTAGGAGGAAGCATTTGCAGACCCTTTTTCCCTCCTCCCCAGCAAGACAGACCTGTAGGCTCCCAGCGTTGCTCCCAGGCTGCTCCTCACGGGCCATGTGACAGCCAGCTGGTGGCCACACACAGCAGGGCTTTGCCCCAGTCTTTACAACAAGCGAATTAAACATCGGTTGCCTTCTCTACACCCTGCGTCACTATTTCTTAGCCTCTGAGCAACGGGATTTGTTGGCCTTGAAGGGGAAGGCTAAAGAGTCTCCCACTGAGAGAAAATGGGAGGTCAGGACCTCTCGGAGGAGGCCATCTGCTCTTCGCTGCATAATCATTCCCAGGTGACCAGTAATGATGCACGGGGTCCTACAAGGTGAGCGTCCTGGCGCGGCCGCGGAGCGCAGATGGGCTGAGAAGGCAGCCTTATGAGGCCAAGTCCCCACCTCTGAACATGCAGGGACTGGAGAGGAATGAGAAGTCAAGGGCACCCGGATCCAGACCTGGGTCCTCCACACAGTATGGGCTGGGGCACCTCACAAAACATCTTAGGACTCAGTTTCCTTGTCTGTAAAATGGGTGTGGGAGGATAATATAAGTTCTACTTACCTACTACATGAGCCGTTTATGTGAAGGTTTATAATTCCTCAAGTCTTCTAAAACGTCAGCGTGTTTTGGTGTTTGCATCATTGTGGATATTATTTTACAAGAAAGGGAAACAAGGGCCAAGTCAGAAGTCCACGCCTGGGGGCTGAAATGGGACTGGAATCCAGAGCATCAGGACATGCCCGAGTAGCCAAACCACAAGGGGACAAGCCTCCTTTGGCCCTAGACCCCACCCCAACACCAGTCTCCCTCAGCACTGGAAGAGGGCAGTGTCTTTCTCAAACTTGAGCTGCAATAGAATCATCTAGAAGGCTTGTTAAAACACATTGCTGGGCCCTTCTCCTAGAGATTCCCATTCACTAGGTCCAGGTTAGGGCCTGAGAACTGCCTTTCTAGCAAGTTCCCAAGTGACGCTGATACTGCCGATTTGGGCACCCCACTTTGAGAACCACTGGAACAAGATGGACATTGGTAGGGGAGGAATTAGCCAGCTCTTAACAGACAGTCCCATGCCCACAGATGTTTTATTCATTTCTCGCCACCTGAAGGCCTGCAATCCTGGACTTACTGGGGGCTCCTCCTCCCGACCTAGCTGCACGGCCTAGGCTGAGTCAAGTTCCCTCTCAGGGCCTCAACTGCTCATCCACACGATGAAGATCATGCCTCTCTCACCTTCTTATGTTCTGGACACATACCCACAAAGGCAACAGTATATAAATTCCTGGATCCCTCAGTCCAACTCTGGGCTGAGCGACCTCACCAGCCCCCTGAGCTCTCTCATTCTCAGCTGCCATGACAGCAGAATGAGGACAGAGGGACAGAGGAATTCCATGGAGAGCTCACTCTCAGCCTGCTGAATAGACGCCGGGCTAAGGCCACGTCTTAGAGCCCACTAGCTCCCCTCCCTCAGCAGTAAGAATCACAGGCCCAGAAAGGTTCAGACAAGTCAAGTGGAGGCAGCAAACAGGGAACCACTTCTCATACCCCCATCCGTACCCCAGGGCTCGAGAGCCTTGAATGCAGCTGTGGGGGTGCAGGGGACCACGTTACCGGGAACTTTGCTGCTCTCTGCAAGCACAAAGAAGAAGCCTCCGAAGGACCAAAGTGCCTTCCCCAAATTTGCACAGGGATCCTCTTCAGAGACTTGGAAACACCCAGTGGCTCAGAATAAAATAGGCCTGGCTCACCCTAGTTGTCTTCAGGGAGAAGTATTTTGAGAGCAATACCTGAGCTTAGTCCACAAAGAGGGCAGTGAGATCTAGAAAGGGCGGTGGGAGGGATGGAAAATAAATATAGATTCCATTCCACCATAAATCTTCCCCCAGGAGAGAACATCCCACCGGTCACGGGGATGAGAAGCTCAGCAAATGGGGGGCTTCAGTGGAGAGAGGCTGGGTGTGGGCCAAACGCATTAAGGCGAGTCACTTCCATGTGGATAGCCCCATGCAACAAGACTCTAGCCTCCCAAACACCATCTGAGCAGCCGCTTATCCCCGAACCTAAGTAGGAAGAAGCAGGGCAAAGGGAAGTGAATCTGTGACCACTCCTTCCCCTTGGTCAACATTCACTTCTGATAACCACGAGAGACAAGGGTTATTGTGCCCCTTTCACAGATGAAAAAATGGAGGCAGGGCTAACTCTCCAAAGTTCACAGGGCCAGAGCATGGCCAAGGAAGGCTTCTCTCCTTTCTGTGGCTCCCGAGCTCACGTTCCTTCCATTACTCAGGATGGCCTTTCTTCCGTCCTCCCCTTCCTTGTGGCCACTAAGACCATTCTGCCCACAGAAGGTCACCCCTCCATCTTCCCCTTCTTCCAGCCTTGTCCGACTTCTCTTACCCCACCCCTCCTGGGACGCTATTGCCCAAGGGAAAAGGAAGGAGCACCTTCCCAGAGGCCCCAGGAGAGGGGGGTGGGAGGGGAACAGTGTGGGAGGAAAGGGCACTGCACAGGCCCTGGGGGACGGCTGGAGTGAGCCATTCTCATTTCTGACGTCCTCTTGTCTATTTGGGCCCCTATTTGTGCTTATTTTTAGCTCACACAGTGCTGCTCAGAGCTGTCTCTGGTGAAGCCATTTGACCCGCACGCCAAAAAGTGATGGATTCTCCTAGGAGGAGAGGGCATCAATCTCCTTTTACTGCCTGGCTGGCTGGCCCAGCAGAGTCTGGGTCACAGGGCTCAGACGCCGGGACACTGGCAGGGGACGAGGAGGGAGAGGGATTCACAGCCCAGGCCGTGGGAACACCTCCCAGTCTCTAGGAGGAGGGGCAGCTGCAGCGAGCCAGGGGCCAGTGCCCAGGAGGAGCGGTCTTTGGGAGATGACACGGGGCTCCTGGGACTTTCTATCCTGACTCTTCCCTAGCTCCTTCCTTCAACACAGCCCCACTTGGGCTCTGCCAGAGGAAGCCCTCCATAGGGTTTCTCTTTCCTGCAGGACAACTGGTTCCTCAGATGAAACAGAATGAGGATTTCTGTTTCAGTTACTGCTCCATGAATTTTCCTCTGTACCGAGGACCAAGATAATTATACCCCATGTATGGGATTCACTTCTGCAAGGTCTTGCAGGGCTGGAGCGAGCTTGACCTAGGGCAGAATCACTAATCCAAGGAGGTCGCAGCCACCTCCATACAGAAGACCTCCGAGCCCGCAGAGCTCAGTGGGCAGGCTGTGGTCATCCCCCTCGTCCTCCCCGTGTTCACCTGAACTGCCTCGCCCAGTGCCTTCTGTGACCTGCACAGGCCCGCAGGACAGACATGGCTAGAGACGTACCGGCCAGAAACTGCTCCATGCTGCTGACCGGGCAGGAAGAGGAAGCATAAAACCCACAAGAAACGGGGTGGCTGAGAAATGGAAGGACTGGGGAAAAGAGACAGGTCTGTATTTGAACCCTGACCCTGCCGCTCACTGCCGTATCCACCCTCGGGCCATAGTTCCTTATCTGTAGAATGGGTACGTGACTATCTACCCAGCAGAGTTGTGAGGAGGACAGATGCACGCTTTCCGGATACTAGAAGTCATCGGGACTCTTCAACACATAACGGACATTAAATACAAGTGTGTTGCTT